TCTCTTTTAAACAGTTTTCTCCCTCCTCTGTTTCAGTGCAGTATACATTATTGAACCCATTTGAAGGTGATTTAAAGCAGTAACAGAACACACAACCCAGAGGAGGTGCTCAATGCTGGGTCCTTTCTGTCCATCACCCACTCACCCTCACAAGAACCAGACTAAAACGTGGGTTAGCATCATAGGAATGCGTGGAACATGATGCCAAGGGAAGAAAGCCACCTTCCCTGTGATTCTGATTATATAGAATTTCTTAAGTTGGCCACCTGATAGCAGCATCACAGACTGATTAACTAGAAGGCTGTTCAGAAAAGCTCCAGTGCCTAACATTGCAACTGTTATTCTAAGTCACATTGAAGACCTCATTTGCAGAGTTGGGAACGAGGGTGGCCAGGAACAGCTGCATTCGGCAGGAAGCCTGGCCTCTGACCAGGGAGGGGGATAGCTAGGAAGACAGATACCTTTCCGCTGCCTGTACTCTGTCTGGGACCCCCGGCTCCTGAGTCTCCCCTCTCTGCCAATTCCAGGCCAAGACTGTGGTGCCCGTGGACGCGTTTTTCTCTCTGTTGACCAGTGAGCAGGTCACCAAACAGTTCCCGGTGATGACTGAAGCCATAGCGCAGATCCGGACAAGAGGCCTGCAGACTGCAGTCTTGAGCAATAACTTCCGTCTTTCCAGTGGGAACAGCTTTCTGCCCCTGGACCGGAAGCAGTTTGACGTGGTAAGCTTTTCCTGAGCCAGAACTGTGGAAGCCGGGCCTCTGCCTCAGCCTCAGGGTGCAGCCTTAGGGGCAGCCAGTCCCAGGAGTTGAGTGAACAGGTTTTCCATCCAGTCATTTTCTGAGTTAGCTTCAGACGGAAATTGAAAACAGAAAGCTCAGTGTCCCTGTACTCTTAGACACGTGACCCATTTTGGGGGCTTGATGACAGCTTGAATCCTTAGGTTTAAAGACTCCCTTAAATTCTGGATCTTGGCCTAACTCTTCCAGTAACGTGGACATTCAGTTAGTTTAAATTTAGATGTCCTCGATGGTCAGAGCTTGTCACATTGGCTGGCGTCTTAAAATCACACACCTGTGCCAACCTGTGCCAACAGGCTGCCTCCTGGGCTTATTTCTGTGGATGGTTCCCATATCAGTAAGAGGAAACAGGTCATTGTCCTGGGGGAGATGGGACATTGTCTCTTTTCTTTCAACCTTTTGTTGTGATTTGGATGAGAATGGCTGGGGGCTGCCATACTGGACCGGGGAAGCCCAGAGACTGAAAGGGCTGTCCCTGTCACCCGCAGGTCGTGGAGTCTTGCCTGGAAGGCATCTGTAAGCCTGACCCCAGGATCTACAAGCTGTGCTTGGAGCGGCTGGGTGTACAGCCCTCTGAAACCATCTTCCTGGACGATCTTGGACTGAATCTCAAGGCAGCTGCCAGTCTGGGGATTCACACTGTGAAGGTGACTGCCACCCTGCTGTGTGCTGATTGGCCACAGTTCTGAGTCCCTTCATGTGGCTGGGGGCCAGTGGTCTCAGTTTTCAGGATGAAATCTGTTACTAGCAGCCTGTGTTTTCAGGGACAGGCTTGAGGGCAGCTTGAGAAGACAGGAAGCCAGAAGGTGAAGGGAGTGATTAAGACCCTGGGCGGCCCCTTTGGCTGGGAACCCTGTAGCCACTCGAGCCATCATCCAGAGCCAGGGCTGTGCAGAGGTGGTCTCGGTTCAGCCACTGTGTTGGGTTTTCATGACTAAACTTGACTGGACCACAGGGACTGGGTGGAAAAGGCATCACAGGAGGAGGGAGGATTGTGGCCTTGGACCCGGCAGATACAGTGTAGTGTGGAGAGCAATCAGATGGGAACAGAAAACTCACTCTGTTGGTGCCGCTGCTGCAGAGCATCTTTACTCAGAGATCAGACTTCTCGGATGTTTCCCTCTAGAAACAAGCCTGTCCGAGCACATGCTTGGGGGGCCAGGGGATGGGGACACGGGGATCCTCTCGGAGCACACGCTTGGGGTGGGGATCAGGGACACAGGGAGCCTCTCAGAGCACACTCTTGGAGTGGGGGACGGGGCCAGGGCTGATGACAGGACATCCTCAACCTTTTCTTTAAAACCAGGTTAGTGACCCAGAAACTGCCATCAAGGAATTAGAAGCCCTTTTGGGCTTTACGCTGAGAGCTGTTCCAAACACTTGCTCTGTGAGAACAAGAATGGAAATTCCCAAAGACTCCTTGGAGAAGTATCTCAGAGGCTTACTGGGGACCCAGACCACAGGTATTTACCATCTTGTATTTGGGTACTAGGTTCATAATCTGGTTCTCCATTCAATATCCTGTTGGAATATTCTGGAAACAAAGGCAAAGCCGAAAACAGTGACTGGCCCAGTAGGTCTGAGTGCTGCTTTCAGATTCTTTTTTATGGCTCCCCAAGAGCTGTGTTCCTCTGCTGTTCACAGGGTTTTCAGAGGCCTGCTGTTTCAGAAATGGGTGGCCAATCCTGCTTCCTAGCCTGTCTTGATCTGGGAGTTCTTCTAAAACCTGCTCACCAGCGGTAACCCTTGTGGTATCTGACACACCAGTGGCATAGCTGTCAGTGTCACAGCAACCCACAAATACCTTAGGATAGCAAGCTGACAGACAAGTTCTGTCCCAGTTAGAACAATGTTCTTCCCAAACACAACAAACTGTAACTAGTAGGAGATCAGTCTTCATACCAGCCCCAAGGGCTTAACCAACTTTTAATCAACAAAGCCCACCCACGGGGTCCTAATTGCTTTGCTTTGAGCAAGAGGATTCAAGCTTACAACTGATTGTTAATTAAAATGACCAATTTACACCTGATTGTCAATAAAAACAACCCAATTTCCCAACTGCTTCCAACTAGAGGCTCTCAGGCTGGGTCCTAACTGACTTTTAATCACAAAGGCCCACTCACTGGGTCCAAATTGGTTTAAACCCAGAGACTTTATTTTTCACAATCTACTGTCAGAGTCCAGGGGCCTGTGAACATCTGAAGAGATTCCTACTTGGTGAGAAAGCCTTAGCTTCCGTCCTGGTGCTGGCCTGCTAAGCAGGGGTGGGGGGTTCCAGCCCCTGGCACACCACTGCAGAAGGCATTCAGTCTGCTTCCACAGAGAGTCACAGCCCAGAAGCCTCGTTGTGCAGCTCTCTGTTCTGGGAGGTCACTGAGAGGCAAAGTCGACTCAGAAGTGCACGTGTTTGTTTGGCTTGCTTTGGGTCTTTTCTAAAGACAGGTTCAGGACCCCTGGTGGCACAGTGTTTAAGCACTTGGCTGTGTGGTGGGACCTACTGGCCGCTCAACTGGGCGATGAGGGGTCTGCTTCCTCCAACATGGGAGCCCTAAAACCACTCTTGAATTTTCATCTCACCCCAGTAACAGTAGCAAAGTTCAACAGAACAGCAAACAACAAATGCTGGTGACATGGGAGTGTTAAACGGTGCAAGCGCTCTGGAAAGCAGTGTGGTGCTTTCTCAGAAAGTTGGAAATAGAAATGGCATTTAACCCAGTAATTCCATACCTAAAGATACAACTGTTACCCTAGAGATACCAGAACCACCACCCAAGCAGATATATATGCACACCCGTGTTTATTGCTGCATTATTCACAATAGCAAAGAGATGGCAACCACCCAAGTGCCCACCAACAAATAAAAAAATAGAAAAACTATAGTATGTTCACACAACCGAATACTATGCAGCACTGAGAAATAAAGAACTCATAAAATGCTTCACATCATGGGTGACCCTTGAGAACTTTATGCTGAGTGAAATATCTCAGTCACAAAAGGGCAAATACTGCACAACATCACAGTTACAAAACAGGACTGCCATGGGGGTGGGGAAACTAAGAAAAGAGGGGATAAGTAATGAACACTGCATTGAAACAGATGAAGGAAAGGACTGTTCAAAAGGAATCTGTGATTAAGCATTGTCTGGATGTCAGTAGTCCAGAGGAGGAGATGCATAAGTGGACAGAGTTAAGGAGGAAATTATGCAACAATGAATGAATATATTTTTTTAAAATGAATTTGAGTGCAACAATGAATGAATGAGAACCCAAAATCTCTGTAAATGTTCATTAAAACTAATAAAATTTAATAATAATTTTTAAAAAATGAATTTGGAGGGTAGGGAGGAAATGTGCAGCAATGAATGAATGAAAATCCAACTTTTCTGTAAACTTTTGTTAAAGTCACAGTTAAAAAAGAAACGATGGAAGCTGTGAGAGGCAGCGCTGCTCTGTCGTCCAGGGTCTGTGGGCAGGGACTTGATGCCGTGGCTGTGCTTTTTGATTGGATAAAGCTTCACTGCCCCCACCTACCCGGGATGCTTGAAAAAGATCGATCTCTGTTTGCAGAGAGTGCTTCCCCTCTCCTCTGCAGTGGAATTGTGGGGCTGCTGACTGAGAGGCCTTTGAATGCACTTGATGCTCCCAGGAGATTGAAGATTTGCAGCCCTGGAAACCTGGGGGCGTTGCCCCAAGTCAGAGTTGACTTGACGGCAGTGGTTTGGGCTGGATAGCTGATCGTACCCCAAGAAGCAGGGGCCGGATTGACTGGGCCAGAGAACAGGAGAGCTGGTTCCTCGCTTGTTCCTGAGGCAGAGTTACAGGTCCTGTGTCCTGGTGCTTGTCACGAAGCCCCCTGGCCTGGAGTGGACACTGACTCCCAGTGAGCGTGTAGGACGGACCAGGGCTGCCCCAGGGTTTCCGAAGCTGTAAGTGCTGCGGGAGCAGAGTGCTTTGCCTCCCCAGCCGCCTGGAAGACCCTGTGGGGGGGCTCCTGCTTTCAGCTCAGCAGTGGGGAGCCCTCACAGGCAGCACTGCTCCCTCCAGCGGCCCCCTTGCTCCTCATGGTCATCCCTCACGGCTAGGTGCGTCTCAGAGGCACAAGGGCCCTTTTCATCATACACCTGACGCATGCCGTCAGCAGGACGGCTGCCATGCTGTGCTGGGCACACACAGCCGACAGGCTTCTTTTAGCTACAAGTTGGTGAGGAGCACAGTAGGACAATCTGACCCCCTTGTAAACGAGGTCCACTGTGGTGTCGCCGGCAGGCCTGTGGCTCAGCCACTCTGGAACCTGGGTGGAGGACCTCCTTGCCATGTGTCCCAGGTTGTGACGTGCATCCTCGATGCAGCACCTGTTAGAAGGAACACCCGCCCGGCTCTGATTGAATTCCTTTCCAAACCTGCAGGTCACTTGGAACTCCTCCAATTTGATCACGGACAGTCAAACCCGACTTACTACATCCGATTGGCCGACCGCCAGCTGGTTCTGAGGAAGAAACCCCCGGGGAAGCTCCTTCCGTCTGCCCATGCAGTGGAGAGGGAATTCAGGTTCGTTCACAGGGCAGGGGCGCTCCCTCACTTGGCCTCCCCAGCAACAACCTCAGCACCTAAGAGGACAAGATTAAACACCACCAAGCCAGCGATGCCCTGCAGGGCGGGTGAACTGTCTGTAGTTTCCAGAGCCGTAATCGCGTAATCTTGGGGCAGCCAGCTGCTGCTTCCTCTGTGGAGTGCCTGGGGGGGTTGGAGCCACTCACACAGTGTGGGCTGAGAGTAGAGGAGGCCTCCTTTCCAAACCAAAGTCAAGACCTGTTATCGGGGCCTCCTGATCCCAGGAGGGAGGCACTTGGACAGCGGCCAGTTCCTGCTGTGAGGCTGTGGCCCGGGCTTGGGTAATTCTCTTCACTCCCTTCCATCTTCTCAGTATCTGGTAAGGGTTTCTGGTGACTTTGTGGGTTACGGAGCGCTGCTGACCAGAAGATGGCTTCAGACAGCCCAGCGGATCTGAGGGAGCAAGAGGTGCAGGTCAGAAAGTCAGAAAGTCAGGAAGGGCTACTGTGAGAGAATCGGCTTGAGGACAGTGGGGTTTGCGGTTTACGTGTCTGATAGAACTCAGCAGTAAAACCATTTGGGCCTGAACACTTTCTCCTTGGAAGATTAGTTTATGAATTCCATTTATTTAATAACAAAGAGCAACTTATGCTGTCAGGTGGGAACCACTCCCAGTTGGCCCTCTAGTCGGTTCGCAGAGGCTCTGAATCCCGTGGGAGGAGAGGCCTTTCTCCTGTGGAGTGGCTCGTGGATCCTGCTGCCTGCGTTGGAATTGGCAGCATAGCCCCTTACCCATCAGGCTACCAGTGCTCCCTGGCGTGCTGTTTCCTTCGTAATACATGGTTGTTTAGGTATTATATTTAATACTGTGTTTTATAAATTAGCGTTTTCAGGAAAATGTTCCTAGAATACTTGTGTATACACGCTAACTTGAAGTTTATAATAGTCCCTAATGTTTCCACGTTCCCCTTTCAGTGTGGTGAGTACGGTGGAGGGCAAGGTCCCAATCTCGTGCGTAGCGTAGCTGTAAGTTGTAGTAGACTCCAGGACACCAGTCAACATCCTTTTAACGTAAGTTGTTGTGGTTGCTGTTGTCATGCACTGTCAAGTCGGACATGGCCCATGGCTGACCCTGCTGGTTTCCAGAGGCAGTAAGTCAAGGAGAGGACATTGCCCGTCTTTTTCCCATGGAGCAGCTGCTGGATTCGATCCACATGCTTTCAGGTTGGCAGTGCAGCTCCTTACCTTATCTTAGGCAACCAGCACTGCGTACTGTCAGTAGGATCTATAATTATATCCTCTCCTAGAATCAGTCGTTAATTGATGTTCATACTCTTCCTCTCCTCAGTGTTACTGTTTTTCTATTAAGTGCCGTCAGGTTGCGTAGGACTCATAGCTATGATCAGCAGATCTGGACCGTGTCTTACCCTGTGCCATCCTCTTCGTCCCATAGCTGCAGTCACCGCGTCGGTCCGTCTGACGGGAGGTCGTCCTCTCTTTTGCCACTCTTCCACCTTTCCAAGTATGACATCCCCCTCCAAGGAACAATCACTCCTGACATCGGACCGCACATGTGAGATGAAGCACTGTCATCTTTGCCTCCAAAAAGCACTGTAGCTGCACTTTCTCTAAGAACCTGTTTGTTCTTGTGTCAGTCCATGGAGTATTCCGTGCTCTTCTCCAACTCCACAGCTCAAAGGCAGCAGTTCTGTCATCGTTATTCACCGTGTAGCTCTCAGATGCGTAGCAAGTGATTGAAAGACTGCACCTTGGTCTTCACACTGACATCCCTGCTTCTCAGTTATTGAGAGAGATTGCAGATTTTCCCAGTACAAAAAATGTCCTCATCCCCTGACCTCAGGTAACAAGTGTATTGTCTGTGGATTCACGTAAGATGAAATCTTGGACAGTTACAGACTTTTCTCTGTCATGACGTTGCTTGCCAGTCCAGGGGTGAGAATTTTTGTTTTCTTGATGGCGAGATGTAAGGCATATTGAAGGCCGGATTCTTTGATCTTCTACAAGTTTGAGTCCTCACTTTCAGCAACCAAGGTTGTTTCATCTGTATAACATTGTTGAGTCTTCTTCCAGTCCTGATGCCACCTGCTTCTTCTAGAGTCCAACAACTTGAATAATTTGTTCAGTGTACAGATCGAATAGGTATGGAGAGAGGATACAACCCTGACGCACACCTTTCTTCATTTTAAACAATTTCCCTTACACCGCAGCCTCTTGGGTCTAGGTATAGGTTTCATATGAACATAATTAGGTGCTCTGGGATTCCCTTCTCAATGTTAGCTATAGCTTGTTACCATGCACACAGTCAGACGCCTCTGTGTAGTCAATAAAACACAAATAGGCATTCTTCTGGTGTTCTCCACTTTCACCCAGGATCCATCCAACGTTAGCAGTGATAACCCTGGTATCATGACCTCTTCTAAACCCAGCTTGAACCTCAGGCAGCTTTCTGTGTACTGTTGAAGCCCTTCTTTTTTTTTTTTTTATTAAATTTTATTAGTTTTAATGAACATTTACAGAGATTTTGGGTTTTCATTCATTCTGAAGCCCTTCTTGAATGATCTTTAATAATATTTTGCTTGCATGTGATGTTAATGATACTGTTTGATAATCTCCACCTTCTGATCATTCACCATTTTTGGGAATGGGAACAAATATGGATCTCTTCCAGTCTGTTGACCAGGCAGCTGTCCTCCACATTTCCTGACCTAAACTGGTGAGCATGTCCAGGCCTGTGCCTGTGGTTGAAACATGCCAGTTTTCCCACTGATTCCTGGGGCCTTATTTTTTGCCAGTGCTGTCAGTACTGCTTTGATCTTCTTCCTTCATTACCACTGGCCCTTGATCGTATCGTACATCTGGAAATAGTTCCTTGGCAGCCAATTCTTTTTGAGACAGTGACTCTGTATATTCCCTCTCTTCTTTTAATATTTCCTGGATTATTCAAGAATTTGCCTGTAGTGTCTCTCAGTATTGTAACTCGAGGCTTGAATTTTTGTTTTTCAGTTCTTTCATCTTGAGAAATGCCAAGCAAGTTCTTCCCTTTTTAGCCTCCAACTCTCTGCACATCCCATTATAATCCTTTCTTTGTCCTCTTGAGCGGTCCTCTGAAATCTTCTGTTCATCTCCTTGACTTCAGCATCTCTTTCTGTATTTTGGCTTCTCTTTAGTATGAATTGGGGTTTCTCAATGGTGATGGTATTTTCCAGAGAACTCAGTGTTTAATTTTGTTCATTTTTTTCCTGTTGTTTATTTCTGTTTTATTTATTTCTGTTCTTTATGCCCTTTCCTAGACTTATTCTGAGTTTATTTTTACTTTAAAATGATGAACATTAAAGTTTTCAGTTTCTCGCTAAGCATTTCATTAACGGTGTCCACAGTCTGACATATTACATTGGCATTATTATTCCATATGAAATTTGACTCATGAATGATACAGAAGTATATGGCTGCATGTATAAGATTTTTCTGTGTATTGATTTTCCATTTAATCACTTTGGCATCTGAGAGTGTAATCTGTCACAAAGGCAGTGTTTGGAAATCTGCTGAGACTTTTGGGGGTGCACATGATTCCCCTTGGTGAACGTGCTGGGTGCAACGTGCACGTGCATTCTGCCCCTGCCGAATTATCCATCACGGCTCAGAACAACCCTGAGAGCGGCAGATCTGAACCGTCCTGTCCATGCCGTCCTCACCGTCTCTGACACACTGGGGCCAGCACACCGTTCACTCACTGTATCAGTCCATCTCGTTGAGGGTCTTCCAATCCCAGCATGATGCCCGTTTCCAAGTAGGGGCCTTCCTCACAGCATGCTGGTTTAGAGGTTCGTAACTGTTAGTCGGGTCAAGTCAGTTGGGAGTATTGTTCAGATCCATGTCTTCACTGCCTTTTTTCCATCTCGTTCTACTAGTTAATGAGAGAGGGTTGTGAAAATCTCAGGATCAAAGGCTTGTTCAGTTCTCTCTTTAATTCTGATCATTTTTGTTTCCTGTGTTTTGACGTTCTGTTACCAGGCTCGTGCACTCGTGATTGTTACACCGCCCTGATGACTTCATTAACACACGTCATTTTGAACTATCCTCCTTGGTCTCTGGTCCCAGTGTCTGCTATATCTGATAGCAACGTGGTCATACCAGCTTTCACATGTTTCCTGGTTGCCTGGCCGCCCGCTCCATCCTTTACGTTTGACTTCTCTGTGTCTTTACAGGTCATGTATTTCTCCTGTAGACAGCGTACAGTTGTGTCCCGCAGTTCTGTGCAGTCTGAAGCTGTCTTTTCATTGGAGTGCTGAATCCATGAACTAGAACATGACTCTTGACAGGTTCAGGTTTAGTTCTGTAGTTTTACTCTTTGTTTGGGCTCCATTTGCTTTTCATTTCCTTGTTGTTTGTTTCTTACCTTCCTTGGGGTCAACTGAACTATTTTTTAGTGTTCCCTTTTCATTTTTGGCTGTAAGAATTTCTAAATCAGAAAAATAATTTTAAGAGAGTCTCATCAGCTAACTTCATTTTATTTGTCCTGGCAGGATAATGAAAGCTCTCTCCAGTGCTGGAGTTCCTGTCCCCAAAGTCCTTGACCTCTGTGAAGATTCAAGGTAATGTGCAGATTTAATTCCCCATTACATATTCCAGGTCCAGCCAGAACGAAACCAAGTCCGTTGCCATCAAATTGGCTCCCTAGTGACACAGTAGAACGTAGCGTTTCCAAGGCTGTAATCTTCACAGAAGCAGGAGTGGCATCCACTTCCTAAACAGCATGCCTCTGGAAACTCTGTGAACTTGGAGAAATGAGGAGAGTTATGGAAAGGCTTTAGGTCTTTTGTGCATAGGATCACTATGAGGCGTGCTTGACTCAACGGTAGTCAGCAACAGCAGCTGTCTGTGTGGAAGCAAACTGCCCACTCCTCCTGATGGGTCACCAGTAGGTGTCAGCTACTCCCCTCTCCGGTGAACAGCCGGGGGCTCTACCTACAGCACGACCAGGGCTCCTGTGTTCAAGGTATGAGTAGGAAGGCCTCATAAACTACTCGTATTCCAGTTTATAAAAAAAATGAGTCAACCTTGTCAAAGATCTTAAAGAGATACTTACATTATATTGAAAAATAAAGAAATACCCACTTTGGAAATTGTCAGGAAATCTTTTTACATTCTAAAAGTAAACATTTTTTGTTAAATTTTTATTGCGTTTTTATATTTTTTAGTATATGTGCTGCTGAAGCGAGCACAACGTTTTTATATATTTAAAAGTTATTATTACTGTGGTCTTTCCAAGCTTTTTGTATACTGCTTTGTAACTTGATTTTTGGGTATCTTTCCCCCCTCATTTTTCTTTAATTTTATTTTATTATTTGTTATGTGTGTACCGTCAAATCGGGTCTGACTGGTACAGGTAGAGATTGTCCCTCCTTCTCCAGCAGAGCATCTGGTGGATTCAATCCACGCACTTCTGGTATTGCAGTGCAGCTTCTTGCCACTATGCCACCAGATCTTCCTGGTTCCCTCAAATTTTTAATCACAAAAATTTGTAACTAGAAAAGAAGAAAGCAGAAATAGTAATCAGAAGAATGCCCACGTAACCTCGTCTGGATGGAACCACTGAGCCGGGTCCCATTCACTCTCTGGAGCGTGTGTGTTTGTGAGCACAGATAGAGGGCGCTCTGCTGGCCTGGAGCTAAGAAGCTGCCCTTCAGAGTCAGGTGGCCGCAGTTCACCAGGGGCTCCAGGGAGAATGATGGGCAGTCTCCTGCCAGGCGATTTCCTGCCCATGGAAACCCTCTGGACCGTCAGCTGGAGTCCATCCCGTCTTGATGGCACTTAACAGCATGCACATACAGAAACAAGCCCTGGCGGTGCACTGGGCCTCTAAGCGAAAGGTCTGCGTTTAGGATCCACCCACCTCTCCACCTCTTGAGGGGAGAAAAGTCAGATGGTTCACACCGACAGAGAGTAGGCAGCCCCAGGACCCCGTGGGGCTCCACTCTGCCCATGGAGTCACAGTGGGGAGTAGACGCAGGGGCACGCGCGCTCCTGCACACACACACACACGCGCGCACGTGTAGATGTCCATTCGGGGCTATGCTGCTTGTATGTACAGTGACATGCAGCGCCCAAGAATTAAGAACTTTGCTTTTTACACCACAGTCTCATTGTCATCATGGAAAAGAATCCTGTAATATTTCATAATCTACTATTAAATATATTTACTATATAAGCTCTTAAAAATACTATATTTAACATACCAGCTTTTGTCTGAATTTCCTAAGTTGTCTCAAAAATGTCTTTTATAACAGATTTTCCGTGTTAGAATATCCACCTATAAAAGGTTGTGGTTGTTATGTGCCATCGAGTCACCTGCATCCCATAGAGACCGTGTGTACAGCAGCTCTGAAGCCTGCCCTGTCCCAAGCCAGACTCCCTAATTCCAACACACCAACTCTCATCACCCCAGTTACTGTATCAGTTAATTTCACTGGGGTCTTCCTTTTCCTCTCCTGTGCCCTTCCGAGCATGATGTCCTTCTCCAAGGACCAGTCTCTCTCCTAGCCATGTGCCAGGAGACGAAGCTTCAAAATCCTAGCCTACAAGGAGAAACTAGGTTTCATCCTCTCAAAGACAGACCTGGTTTTTTCCTTGACAGTCCACGGTATGTTTAAGACTCTTCTCCAGCCCCACAACTGAAAGGCGGCAAGAGCAGTAAGACGATTTCTAGGAGTAAATAAAACGTGAATGACATCTCTGTGGGTCACTATCATACTGTTGGGGGCATGTGCTATTTATAGTGCCAAATGATGACTGTTGTCGTCGTTGTTAGGTGCTGTTGAGTCATATTTCATGACGCCTTATTCAAGCCAAGCCCTATGCAAGGCAGTTCAAGTGTATTCACACCCTTAAGTCAGACAACAACTTTTTGAATTACATTTGAGGTACATTGAAAAAATTTCCAGAGGTCTAGGGAGTTACCCCGGTCACACAGACAGTCAGCAGCAGAGAGCCATGCTGCTTTCCGGGGCACCCGCTGTGTTAACCATCCCAGTAACATCTTGATGGACCAGGGAAAGAGGCAGGAAGCTTAGACAGGGCTGTGTGTGTGTGGATTGACAGGGAGCTTGCTTCGTGCTCAGGAAAAGGAAGCGACCAGCATCTAACTCCAACCCAGTGAACAGACTGCATGTGGGGGTGCGGTGCACGGAGCAGACCATTCCCACAGCATGTCACGTTATGACTCCGGTCCCTGAAACGCCCTCTCTGTGTCCCCACCTCCAGCATCATCGGCACTCCCTTCTATCTGATGGAGTACTGTCCGGGCATCATCTACAAAGACCCCTCTCTGCCTGGCTTGGAGCCTAGCCACAGGCGGGCCGTGTACACTGCCATGAACAGAGTCTTGTGTCAGATTCACAGTGTGGACATCACAGCTGCCGGCCTAGGGGACTATGGGAAGCAAGGTGAGAAGCTGCTGCCCCACGTCCTGAGTTCCTGGGGCCCCTTCAATGGGGGTTCTGTCCCCAGGTGAGCAGTGAGGTAGGCACTGGACTCCTGGAGCTCCCTTTCTGGGGGCTCTGTCCCCAGGTGAGCAGTCAGGTAGGCACTGGACTCCTGGGGCCCCTTCAATGGGAGTTCTGGCCCCAGGTGACCAGTCAGGTAGGCACTGGACTTCTGGCCCCCCTCTCTGGTGGCTCTGTCCCCAGGTGAGCAGTCAGACAGGCACTGGACTCCTGGGTCCCCCTCAATGGGAGTTCTGTCCCCAGGTGCAGTCAAGTAGGCACTGGCCTCCTGGGGCTCTGTCTGTGGGGGCTCTGTCCACAGGTGAGCAGTCGTGTCAGGCTCTTGGCTCCCACCTAACAGGCGTGCTGACTTTTGCCTTCTCATCCTAAATTCTGGCTATAATACCATCCTTTTCTTGCAACCAATTGCAGTATTAGTCAAGATTCGTAAAGTTGCAAGATTTTAGGCACGAATCTAACCTGGCAGTACATAAACCATCATTTTGTGGACACCTGTGGACTGTAGAAAGTCTTAGTACTAGGTTGACTTAGACACCAGCCAGGAATTCAAACAATGCCAGAGATTAATTTTTCTGGGTCTTTTCTCTCTGCTTCCTTCTCCTCTGGTGTCATTCTAACTCAGGTTCTCATTTGACAACCAGGTTGTCACCACCAACTCCACATTTAGCTGTCCGAGCTCGCCAGGGGCCTGAGGCCAGAGATCGAGCCCTGAGCCTGACCTGGATCATGGAGCTAGGTCTGCACCAGTCGTGACCGAGGACCAGATTGAACAGTTGCTAATTTGTGTCATACTTGTTTCTTAGCTGTCTAAGTGTCCAGGTACACTCAGTTTTATTTCAATTCACAGATAGTACATTTTTTACAGACGGGAGGTTTGTGGCAACCCTGAGTTGAACAAGCCTGTTAGAGCCATTTCCCCGACAGTACGTGCACACTTTCTGTCTCTGTGCCACGTTTTGATGGTTCTTACAGTGTTTCAGACTTTTGCATTGTCCTGTTACATGCTTAATAGACTTCAGGTTAGTATGAAAATGGAAGCCCTGACATCCTGTGACTTGCTGTATTGTACAGGTCTGGATCTGAAACCCCATAGGCCTCCGGTACGCAGATACACATAATGTTTGCTGTGTGTCATTGAGTCAGAATCTGCTCATAGCTGACCCTGCAGCAGGTTTTCAGAGGCATTTATCACATGGGAGGAGATGGCCCGCCCTCCAGCAGAGCTGCAGGTTGACTAGAACTGTGACTGCAGTGCAACTGCTTAACACTAGGCCCACAGTAAGTTTCACTTCAACATGCATTTACATGAAGAAGGACATTCTCCCATGCCTTTCAGAGGCTGTAAATCACAGGGAGGAGATTGCCCATCTTTCTCCCACAGGGCAGCTGGTAATTCGAACCACTCACCTTTGGATTGGCTGCCTTATTCTCTCCTGACTAAACCACCAGAACTCCCTAAGACCTTTTCCCCCCTAAATTTCTAGCACCTGGTTTATACTCCAACTTCTCCATTATCTATTAAAAGGGGCAGGGTGGAGAGGGTTTCCACCACCTCCTGCAAACAATCCAGTCAAGGAATGGAGAATACCTTTTCTTGTAATCAGTGCTGTAGAGAGCCCACGTGTCGCAGCAGTGTCTGGAACATTTCACGTGGCTTCACTGACACTCTTATTTCCTGTGCCTCTTCTACATGGTGAGTTGGCACTGATGCTGATCTCCATGTCCCACAGCCCAGCTGACTCCCTAGGTGGTTGGTGTCCACATGCTCTGGGAGTGAAGTGACACCAAGGAGGGACTTGCCTTCTCAGTCCTCATCTCAGATCCTTCAGCGTCTGGGGAACACTTTTCCCTCGTTGAGGGATGCAGGGGAGGCTCAGAGCCAGGGCCCTGACATGGACTGGAGTCTTGACATAGTCACTCAGCACGCTAGTCGCAGGTCGCCCACACAGCCTGCGGAACCACATCCTCACGCCCTCCGTGCGTGTGGTGCAGTGGAGACCTGGAGTCGTTCAGCTAGTGGCCGAGCTTGACCATGGGCCGGGCGGACTCCCAAAGTCCCGCTTCACGGCTCCAGTGGGACTTACACATCCCTTGGCTGGGCTTTCTCGGGTTTCCTAGTGGCAAATAACAAAGCTAAAAAAGCTAACAGCACTTCAGGGTCGCTTTCAAGAGCTGTGTGCATTTTAGCCTCCTGACACTTCTGTGAGGACTTTCATAGGTGAGGAAGCGAGCACAGAGAGGTTAAGTACCCTGCCTGCCATCACACAGCCAGAGAATGGCAGAGCTGGGCTTCAAACCCAGGCGGTTGGCCACAGAGTCCCCGCTCTTAGACAGCAGCTGTTTAGTGGAAAAGGAACTCTCCAAAGCTGTCAGTTCTGATCTGAGCCACGGCGCCTTGGCGTCCCCAGCCAGGTCCAGTGCTGTGCTCGCGCCCTTGCTGTGGTTGCTTCTGTTGGCACAGCCACTGAGAGTCTCCTTTTTGGACTGTCCTCCCCTTTCCAAGGAGGGTCTGGCCCCCTCTGCCAGCCTCTCCAAAGTCCGTGTCTCAGGAGAAACTCTCACCATCCTGCTTCCAAGCAGCCTCCTGGATGCGTGTCTTTTAAGCTGACTTGACCTCCTGGCAACCCATCGTCTGTTTCGTTTTCTACACCAGCACTGTGACTCGAAGGCATCCGTTAGATTTTCTTCCTCATTGTCCATCTTTCAGATGCACAGGGGGCTCCTGAAAGTACCCCGACTTGGGCCAGGTACCCCAAAGTCCTCAAAGTGACACCTTTGCCTCTTAACTTTGGTGAGGTCTCTTGTGGCAGACCCGCTGCAGCGCGTCCCTTTGTTTCTCGATTGCTCTTTCCCTGGCATTGATTGCGGTGCAAGTGAAATGAAGTCCTTGACAGTTTAGGGATTGTTTCCACTGAACTAAATGTGGTTTACTAGCCTAAAGCTTTAGGAAGCTCCTAGGCCCTCTGGGCGGGCTGCAGACAAGGCTTTGTCAGCCCTGGTGACATGGCTGGTGGCTTCCACCTGGGCAGCTTGACCTTGATGTGTCATCAGAGAAGGAGCATTACACATGGCTTTCCTGGGGGAAGAATTTCCAAAACCCTCAGGGCGTAATGTCAGAAGAGGCGGCCAGCCACTGGGGAAGAACCTCCTCCTTGGTGAAACAGAAGGTCCGCAAAGGCGAGGACGCCCCTCAGTGCACTGGACTGACGGAGTGGTTGCACAGGGTCCCCGGCGCAGCAGGGACTGGGGGACGGGGCACCAGGGCTGGGCTCCACTGTATGCAGACAGGGTCACAGCAGGAACTGACTTGATGGCACGTCACAGAGGCGTCTGCTTTCCCACATAGCTTTGTGAAGGCCCCCCTCGCTCCTCCCACCAGAATCCAGTCACAGGGTCTAGAACACTCCCTCTGCCTTTTCTCTGGGTGGGTTTCTAGGCGGCCGTGCAGGTATGACGGTGTGTGTGGCCCCTTCCTGCTGGTAAGCCCTCTTCCCCTCAGGGGACTATATTCCACGGCAGGTGCAGACCTGGATCAAGCAGTACCGGGCCTCGGAGACCAGCACCGTGCCGGCCATGGAGAGGCTCATTGAGTGGCTCCCGAGTCACCTGCCGCGGGAGCAGAGGAGCACCGTGGTGCACGGGGACTTCAGGTACACCTGCCCGGAGGCGGCCGAGTGCGCCCCATGGGAAGACAGCTGGGATGGGGTGCAAAGGGGAGCGGGACTGCGACTCAGTTCACAGCTGGAAGTGTCCTCATTCCTGTATGTGGTGGTCGGGGTAGGGTCGTCGGCCTCAGCACTTGGACATTTGGGACCACATTCCTCGTTGGGGTCTGTGCTGTGCACGGAAATTGGAGCAGGGCCCAGGCTTTCACCCACTAGATGTCATAGCGGCCTCTCTCCTTGCCTCACGTCTCCTTGTTGTGACAGCCGGAACATCTCCAGAGGTAGCCAGCAGGCTTCTGAAGAGCCCAGGTAGTGAGTGCCGTGTCACCACACAGTGGGGTTCAGGTAATGTGGGAGTGAGCGGTTCAGGTAATGAGTGCTGTGTCACCACGGGTTCAGGTAATGAGTGCTGTGCCACCGCACGGTGGGATTCAGGTAATGCCAGGAGCGCAGCTGCCTGTTGCCCCCCAAGACCCTCATGTGGACTGGAACAAGTGGAGGGTATGCCCGCTGTTTCTTGGTGGTGTGGTGACTCTGTTGCTGCACGTAGAACTGGGGTGTGCCCGGCTGGACCTTCCCGCGAGCCCGCAGGCGGCTGTGAGAGCATCTGTGTCACGGGGGTGCGTGGAGGGAGCCTGGGGTGGTGCACCCCGTAGGGAGCTGTGTCCCATTCCCTCGGAAGTGGCCCTTTAATTGAGTCGGGCTGTAGAGCAGAGACTGGAGGTAAAGCCAGCCCCTTGCTTTGCCAGTCAGGGCGTCTCGTTTCCGTGGTTGTGCTGTGTCACTGAGCTCCTCCTGTCTCTTGGTGGCACCCTCAAATGACCTCCAAGTGTGACTGGATGGACTTTATTTTAGGTGATTGTCCACCGTCTGCTCTTGCGTCCAACCCGGATGACCGTGACCTAGACAATAGCTGTGGTTGAGTCCTCCCCCCTCGCCTCCAGCCCCTCAGGCCTCAAGCCCGCCTTTCCCACCACACTCCCTCCTAGCCTTCCGGCCCATCCCTCAGTGGGAAGCCCGGTGAGTGGGCCTGTGGCCCCAGTGCTGTCCTCTGGTCCCGGTCGTTGCCTCTCTCTGTACCTCGGCGTCCGCAGATGCGTCCAGGCACAGTGCCTGCCCACTGTGTCTCATGTCCCTCACTGCAGCGTCCTGATGCCTCCAGAAGCGATGGCCACTGCTTCCTCCTTGCCGCTCATGGTCAAGGCTCTTTCCAACCTCTTAGCCCATAAATGACCATGTGGATGAAGTGTCTGGCTTACTGCTGGTCGTGGGAACTGCCCACTGGGCACCTGGGTCCTGCAGGGACCAAGCTTTGCACCAGGCGTAGACAGGATGCCCTGGTGCCGAGCATTGTCTGCGGCACACCTTGTTTTCGTGAGCTTCCCGGACAGTCTCTGGCCCTGTGTCAGCAGTTCCTCCAGCCGATTATCTCACAGTATGTGCTCACGCCTTGTCCCTGTCTCACGTTGGCGATCCATGCGCTGTGTCAGACACTTCATCACAGCACCCTGAGCGTTACAGGCTGTGGCGGAAACATTTTAAACACTCTCGTGTGCCGTCCAGTCAGAACCGACTCACAGCTGACCCTGCAGCAGGATTTTAGAGGTGGCAAACCCCCCTGGAGCAGATTGCCCAGCCTTCCACGTGGCGGCTGGTGGGTTCTCACCACGCACCCCTGGGTTGGCAGTGCAGCTCCTTACCACAAATCAAAACAACAGAATACCCAGGCATAGGCAGGAAAAGTGAAAATGGCTCCGATACGTTCCAACTTCAGGTTAGCACTTATTCTGAGAGACGAAGGGAGAGGACAGAAGTGGAGCACGTTAGCCAAGTCTAGACTGTTTCACTCTGAAAATGAGACGCACATTTGATAAAGTGCTCATACCTGTTGGATCTGGAAGCCAGGTCTGTTCTATGAATTTTCTGCCTGTCTAATCATTTCGTTCATGGCCCAGCAGAGTCCGGCTTCCTGGTGGGAAGCAGGCAGCACTGAACCCTGAGGGAGTCTGATTGGTGCAGCCTGCTTTCATGGAACCACCATAGAACAGTGTTGGGCCGGTGAGCCCGAGACCCATTCAGGCCACTGCCGCAGAGCGGCCTCTGCCTCCCAGCGACCCCGTACGGGACAGAGTGGAGCTGCACCCTTGGGTCCTGTGGCTGGTGCTGCAGCTGGCCAGCTCCCCACACGCAGTCCACCGCACCATCAAAAGGATGACCCTTAAACTAGTGAAGTTACTAATACTCAATTACTGCGCCTTGAGGCGTAGTCCCAGGGTCGCAGCAGCAGGGGACAGACAGGCTTGCGTTTCCATGGTACCCTGCGCTGCGCGCTTCCAGTCCCAACTGCACAGGGATGAGAGCGCACAGGAGGACCCTTGGGAGCCTTGCTCATTGGGTACTCAACCCTGGGGAGGCCGCTGGGTCCTCAGGTGGACCCAGCCTCCCTGAGCTCTCTGCAGAAAGAGAGGGCTGTGGAGTGAGTAAGCGGGGAGGCTGTGGAACAAGGTCCAGCCAGGCACCTGGAGGACGCAGCCCCAGGAGGCCAGCTCAGGACATCCTGGTGATGACTCCTGAGGCTGCCTCTCCACCCCTCGGTGGCTTCCACAGGCTCGACAACCTCATTTTCCACCCCGAGAAGCCAGAGGTGAAGGCCGTCCTGGACTGGGAGCTGTCCACCCTGGGTGACCCACTGGCGGATGTGGCCTACAGCTGCCTGGCTCACTACCTGCCGTCAGATTTCCCAGTGCTTCGAGGTACGAGTGCTGCTGGGGGTGAGTGCGTGAGACCCTCAGCTCCAGGACCAAGGTCGGGTGTGGAGTTGAGCCCTGGAGATTTCAGTGCTCCAGGCAGACCTGAGAGATGCCAGGGGGTGGATTCTGGACCAGTGCACTGCGGCGAAGGTGCCACTTAGGTTTATGCCATGCTGTAGTCCATTAGATGTGCAGGAGCATTTGGAAAAGGTTTGAAGTAACGGGAGTGTTTCCAAAATGGGACAGAGACTCAAAGTGATCATGGGCTGCGGGGGAAACGGCACCAGTAGGCTGACCCACCACAGAGCAGCCACCAGCCTCAACTTGTCAAATACGACACATCTGTGAAGTGTAGTGAATGGGGTGCCCCAGAAGACACAGCTGGGGGTGCTCCCATGACAGTGGGAAGAGGCCCACGTGGGCTGGCTTACGTTTAAAGTGAAATGTGTGCATTTAAAGGTATCTCTTAGGATTGTAGCAAATGAGCTCTTAGGATTGTAGCAAATTTAATTATTTAAATAAATTGTGAAACACAAAAAGAAAACATAACAGCAAAAGGAAAAATGGTGAAGATTCCCCGGTGCCTGGGGAGGAGGGCCTGCTGGCTTCTGTGAAACTCCTTTCTGAAGGACCCTGTGATTTTTCAGAAGCTCAGATGCTCCCTGTAGAGGAGACTGACTGTTGGTGACGACCCTGTGCCCGCAGGTTTGCGGGACTGCGACCCGACTCAGCTGGGGATCCCCACTGCCGAGGAGTGTTTCACAGCGTACTGTCTCCACATGGGGACCCCGGCCGTCACCAACTGGAACTTCTACATGGCATTCTCTTTCTTTCGCGTTGCTGCTATCCTCCAGGGGGTCTACAAGCGTGCACTCACAGGTGAGGGGTGCCACCACCTGAGCACTAGCTCACAGGTACAGCACAGGGTGTCCCCCCCCGAGCACTGGCTTGCAGGTGAGGGGTGCCACCACCTGAGCACTAGCTCACAGGT